TATGCGTATGTGTGTGTGTGTGTGTGTGTGTGTGTGTATGTACTGGAAGTACTATCCAAAACTGAATAAACTTTTTGATGGCAAATACAAACCAGAGATTTCAGGTAATACTCACTAGAGACTGAATCAACATATTAAGACAACGTTTCTGAATGTCTGGAGGTACATTTGCAAAGCTTCTCTCAGACCAAAACCTTGCAAAATGCATCACAATCCACCTGTCAAAATTAAAGGATCCCAAATCAGAGAAATGATATTATTTTTTATTATAATAGTCATTGTTTTTGTCTTAATTATATAAATACATATATTTGACAAACTGTTAATTTTATGAGCTCTAAGATGGACTTAATTATACTTTCTTTTCTATAAACATGTATTTTAAACCTATGTTGGATTGTGTTAGATTTTTCTTTTTTCTTTTTTTTGGTACCAGAAGTTGAATTCAGGACCTTGTGCTTATGAGTCAGACATGGTGCCACTGAAGTAAAACCAGGGCCCAATGTGCACAGATTTTAATGTAACAATGGTTCAGCTAAAATAAATTGATAATTGAGTAATATCTAAATCAATACTTCTACTCAACTGGTATAACTAGTTAAGCCCTACACTACTTATATTGTACCCGTCTAAAATTGGCCACAAAATTAGGAGAATAAAAGAACAAAAACCCTAAATTAGTAATGGTAGCACTACTTAAGATAACTTACTTCATGCAGTCAGCAAAAAGATTTTCCACTCCAACTGAATGAGCAATAATTAGACATTCTATTACAGACGCCAATGTTCTGGGAACAGGCTAAAATTGATAGAAAACACCACATTTATTCTTTTTCAATTACCAGAGGCTAAAAGCATTTGTCTCAGATAGAAAATCTAATTTATATATCTAAACCATGGAACAAAGACATGAAATTTAAAAACTGATGAATTTAAAAATGCATTTTTACCCGAAGTAAATTTCTGCCAGTACGCTGCGTCTATACATGCTCTAGTCAATGTCCTAAAATTTTATTTCTTAAAAACAGTTTTCCACTCAAAAATCTGCACACAGATTTTTATAGCAGCTTTATTCATAATGGTTAATACCTGGAAGCAACTAATATGTCCTGTACATGAATGTGTAAGTAAACTGTAGTAGAGCTTTACAATGGAATATTCAGCATGGAAAAGAACTGAGTTTTCAAGCCATGAAAAGACATGGAGGAAACCTGAATACATATTACTAAGTTAATACTAATGATAAGCCAATTTGAAAAGGCTACATACTACAAATATGATTCCAACTGTATAACAATCTAAAAAGAACCTCCAAACTATAGGGACAGTAGGATCAGTGGTTCCCAGGGGGTAGGGAAAGGAAATCATTTTTAGGACACCTAAAATACTCTGTATGATACTATCACAATGGATACAAATTATCATACATTTCTCTGAATCCCTGGAATATACAACATGAAGAGTGAACCCTAATGTAAACGAGAGACTCTGGGTAATAATTATGTGTCACAGTAGTTTCATCAGTTGTATCAAATGTACCGCTCTGGTAAGGGATACTGATAATGGAAAGGTTATGCATGTATGGAGGCAGTGAGCAGATGGGTGTCTGTACTTTTCAATTTTGCTGTGAACCTACAATTGCCCCCCAAAAGTTTTTTTAAAATCTGTTATTTAATTTTTTAAATTAATTAATTTATTTTAAAACAGGGTCTCACTATGTAGTTGAGACTGATCTGGAACTCACTATGTAGACTAGGCTGGTCTTGAACTCACAAGGATCCTCCTGACTCAGCCTCCCAAGTGCTGGGTTTATAGGTGTGTGCCACCACGCCCAGCAAGACTGTTATTTTAAAATCAAGCATCTCTAATAATTTTTAGTTCTAGAATAGCACTTGAGCTCTTTTAGCTGATACAATGCACATAATTTTTACTCTAACTTCTTTTAGCTTAGTTTTTATAAGCAAAAGTGATGTAATAATTTCTGGCGCCTCACACTGCAATACAACTATTTAGTCTAATCTGCTTCCTAAAGTATAAATATTACTACCATATTTCCTTATAAATAATACCTAACCAGAAAATAAGCCCTAGCCTGATTTTTCAGGATGCTGATAATACAAGCCCTACCAACCAAAAGAAGCCCCAGTTCTGATCATCCGCCAGACAGAGGAAGCATTTAGTATGTCCACTGCAAGGCATGACAGATGTATTGAATTATAAAAATACTAATATATAATTAAATACAAATATTATTGATGCTAATACTTAAAGTAAATAACAATAAATTATAAGTATTCGTAAATACCCGAGTGCCACCTTTGGATGGGGTAAATACCTGTCTAAACAGATGGACTCAAGACACTGCTGAATGCCCCGCTGGAGTAGAGACACAATGCACAAACAACGTGCACCGGATAATGAACGGACATGGCTGTGCCTCGTATGAATCTTCATAATTCAATACATTGTGCGTTTAATGACACATTTAATGCATCTGTGTGAAATAAACATTTTTCTGAATTTCAGTGCCTGCAATTTTTCATCATTTTGTGTGGATCATTCCTAACTGTTATCATTTTTATTACTCCTGTTTCATAAGTCTTCAATTAACACTTGATAATGGAAACTTTTTAAAGCCTTGCCTGTAAGAGGTCATAACTTGGGTGAAGAATTCATGGGATAAAATCACTGACAGCTGTGTTGCCAATGCAGTATGAACAGCCTATATGGACAAGAAATATTCGTTGAAAGAGTGCTCTATTTCTGAATGTGAAAAATCAGGGCCAATGACAGGAAATTGAGTAGCAAGAAATTCAGGTCAGAATTCAGGGTTTAGAGAGTTATAATGATGTTCCAGAAGATGATATGACTGTATTTGAATAAATGTAGATTGTTGCACTTAAAAAGAGACATTTCCTGAAAATAAACCCTCTTGTGTCTTTTTGGAGAAAAAATCAATATAAGACCCAGCCTTACTTTTGGGGAAATATGGCAAGCACATATATGGGGAGGCCCCATGCTGATTTCAGATAAAAAGAGAAGATTTAATTAGATCATAATATAGAACATACTTTCTTATGGCACATACATAGAAGTAATGCATTAAAAAGCAAACAAAGGTAGGTACAGGTAGGGAAAAAAATTTAACACTCCTGGTGTTAAGTATCTGTGCTATATATTGTATAAGCCACATATTTTCAGTTTTTGAACTAGGTTCTAGGTAAGTCTATTCAACCAGTTTGAATTCTTTTTATACACATTTATTAATTGTGATTTTTTTGGGTGCATACACTTAAAGATCAACAAGCCAGTTTGTATATCTAATCTATAAATGTGTATTTCTAAAGATCTTCTGTTCTCAAAGCAAAAGTTTCTTTAGAAATGTCTTTAGCATTTCTAAAAAGGTCAATGATTTTCAAATTTTAATTATGCACTATTAATTTGATTTTCTAATATTCCTCTCCTAAAATTATTATGTTAGTATGTAAGAACTGAATATATTTTGTTTTTCATATTAGTAATTTAAACAAAACATTTAAAATCCCCTTAAGATAACTGAAGGTTCTCCAGGTTCTCTTCAAACCGGAAATGCCCATCACTATAGGGATTATACAGTAATAATTCTACTGCCAAGTTAAATAATTTGGGTTTTAGATCCACTTCAGACCACAGTACTGAGTTAGTATGAGAGAATGGGTGCTTGTATAGACATATTTGATAGCCTAAGAATATCTGGTAGTCTAAAAAATTAAAAAGTATGCAACGGGCTTTTTAAAAAATTCAGTAGTCTAATTTATACAGGGTAAACCAGCCTTATGTAACACAAAATCAATTAACTGACATAAAGCAAGAATAATTTCCATCAAAATTATTAAAATACAAAATAATTTGTTGTTTAACGCAGAGGCTGGTAAGCTATATCCTGTGGGGTAAATCTAGCTCATCACTGTTTTTGTGAATAAAGTTTTATTGGAACACTATTATACATTTCATTTATATATTGTTTTTACCTGCCTTTGATCTACAACAGCAAGATAGTTGTGTATGACCCACAAAGCCTCAAATATTTACTCTCTGGCCTTTCACAGAAAAAGTCTGCTGAATCCTGGTTTACAGATAATTCTGGATCTCCGAGAATGTATTTAAATGGAAATGCTGACTCCCAGTATTTTTGTAATAAGATGACTGACCTTTAGTCATTTTCAAAATCTAATGGTGAATTTGGGAAGACATATCTAATTATTGCCTAAAACACAGTTTTTATAATCTTATACATGAAATCAAAAGTTTTTAATTGTGTAAAGTGCAGGATTGTGAAGTTAATAAAATGACTAAAGAAGCTAGCTCTAGTTAGGAGCCTGTTGTCTATTACCTTATATCCAAATTTGTATTTACTGTGCAGTGTGTTACAAGTTTATAACATTTAAATCACTGTCAAGAGAACTAAGTGGGAATTAAAAGTTAAAAATTCTACA